TATGTATATAATTTATTTATTTTTTTTATAATGCTGAAGTTTTACTTTGGCCAGAGTCCTTGATAAGACCCCTGCAGATTCCCTCATCTTAAATTGATGATACTGTTTATTTGCTGTATTGTTTGACTTCTGTAGGGGCTACAGTTCTTTAGGCCCACAGCAATGCACTCCTGGGTCTGTCCAAATGTTATACATCTGAAACTTACAGGTCTGAACCGAACACCTCCAGGGTTTCCACAAAGCCAAGGCAAAACTCCTTTTAACCACCCCTGGTGACTCTCTTGCCAAGGCCTGCTGCCGTGTTCTGCAGTGAACGCTCTCGTATGTATTCATACAAGCATGCAAGCACGCGATTATGACTTCAAGCACATCTGTGAGTGTGGACTGAATACATCAGTGCCTGCTTGGAAATATAGCTGTGGTTGTAGAAATTGTTTGCGGACGTGACACGAATTTGGTCAGCGGGTTTAAAAAAGTAGTGAAGTAACTCAGTTTGTCGAGTACTTCTTAGCACTATGGCATGCTAGAGGTTCTTATCACTTTTTAATGAATTGAACGCTCCTGCGGTGAGTCTGAATGCTTTTACGACACTGTTAAAATCAAAGAATTAAAAGCATAACGTTGTTAGGATTGAATCCCTGCCGTTCTACCTAATCACATGTTTGAATGCACATGAGACGGGGGACGGCGAGAAAGTTAGATTTACTTTGGGATGGTTTCATAGACCCACTGTTGAAAACGTGGTACTTAGTTTAGTTGCAGGAATGAAGGATTGAGAAATGAGGAGAGACCGTGCAGGGGCCTCATCCAAAAAGTGAGTGGGGGGGGGGGGGGGGGGGATACATTCAGTTTACTTCAACTCTGAGTGGGTTTCTGTACTAAAACTTGAATTTTATATTTTCTGAAGAAAAGGTGAGTGGTACCTCTCTGTGCAAAAACTTTGGAGAGTTTTTAATGTTTTTTTTATGCAGTTGTTAGGGTGTTTTCTAAGGCAGGAGTTTTAAACTAGGAGTTAGAATATTACCTTAAAATATTTTTACATAATTTTTTTTTTTACACATTTACACAATTTTCTTGCTAAAACGCCTTTAAAGTTGTCCAAATGAAGTTCTTAGCAATGCATATTACTAATCAAAAATTAAGTTTTGATATATTTACTAGAGTTGGGGTACTGAGACTCGTACTCGGACTCGAGTACAGTTTTTTTTAAAGGACTCAGACTTGTCACTGACTCGGATGCATTTTTACTCTGACTTGACTCGGACTCGAGCCTTTCGGACTCGGAAAATATGTCAGTTCAACTGAGTCCAGGGACAGTTGACAGTTATTATTTTCTAATAATTCACAGGCTCATCATCAATTATTCCTTACATAATGTAATTTATTGTAATTAAAGTAACTATAAATGCATTCAAAAATAAAACAGGTGTGAGTTGCCTGTGACTTATGGAAAGTATATGTAGGGCTTTTATACACAGTTGTGTGCCATTGTACAGACTAGGTTTATCCCTCACAGCCTCATTTTCATCCAAGAAAAAATTCAAAATGCCCTGTCTAAGGGGTCCGTGTACTTTGGCGTCCATTTATTTTTCATTTACCCTGAAATTAAAATGCAGTTTCTTCTTTAATGGTTCAAACACTGATGAATAGAATAAGCAGACACAAACTAATTTTGATTATTCAAAATATATATATTTGCGTTGTTGTAGATGACAAAACTTTAAATAATATGTGACCCTGGACCACAAAACCAGTCTTAAGTTGCTTGGGTTTATTTTTAGCAATAGCCAAAAAATCATTGCATGGGTCAAAATTATCGATTTTTCTTTTATGCCAAAAATCATTAAGATATTAAGTCAAATAGGACAGCACGTCAAATCTACGCAGACCGCAAGCGCTGTGATTGGTCTGCTAGTACCCCTCCCTCCATATGTATTTGAGTTTTGTGTGTGTGTTTTGCACTATATTTTAATGTTATGTCTTCTTATTTACAATAAAACAAAGCAAAGAACAAGTGTCTTATCATTTATTATAAAACGTAGCATTACATCACTTTGTTGTCTGCAACAAACAGTTGTTCTGCCATGGTACAAGTCTTTGTGGAGATTGAAAGAATGCCGTCTTCTGTTCCGTTGTCGTCTCTTTTTTGTAGTTTTAAATAAATTATCTGTTCTTTGATATTTATTTGCCGCACGCCACTGATATATACAGTGTATATATATATATATATACATATATATATATATATATATATATATTATATATAT